ATATCGAATAAAATGCCCTACAGGCTTACATCTTTCCAAGCCAACACTTGGATACAAAAATACGAGTTCTAACTCAATACAAGAAAAGCCCTAGGCTTGAGTTTTTACAGGTAAGTCCTTTGGTTAGGCTGTGTTGGATCTTAGGGGTTCTCCGATTTGGGTATGTGTGAACACATAGTATGTGAAAACATGATAAAATTAGACAATGTATTGAGCTCACTGTAAACTATTTCAAGATAAAATGAGTCGATTATTTAGAAGTAATTCTTCGGTTAGTTCTAGGTCAACAACTTTGCCCTCTATACCTAATCAAGGTTTAGTAATCAATGAAGAAGATGTAGAAATAAAAAATGATAAAATTGATTTAAGTTGGAATATACCACGTTTACCAATTAAAGAAATTTATAAAACTAGTTTTATACAGAATGCATTTAATGTTAATCTCCATGTTAAAACTTTAGAACAAGTCTATGCTTTAGAAAAACCTAGAGAAACATGTCAATTATTTGATGCTAATACTATTAAACGTCATTTGAAAACTAGTCATAATTTTATTCATTTATGGTTAATTCAAGTTGGAATCAAACCATTGACACAACAAGGCAAAAATACTTCTGTTTTACTATGTTTAAGAGATGCTCGTTTTCTTGATTATAATGATAGCTTAATGGGTATGATGGAAACTGGTCTTCACAAAGGACCCGTCCATTTTAATTGTTTTCCTGATTTTGCTCTTAATCTTAGAGACCCTCATATGTTAGATGCTTTAACTTTAAATATCCAATTACATGGCTCATTTACAAATATGAAAGAAAAAGTTCATAATATTGCTTTAATTTATCGTGTTCATTACAAATGTATTAAAACCAATTTGAATGTTCAAGCCTTACACAAAAGTCCTAAAGACAAAACCTTACTAATCCAAAGTAATAATAATGATACTAATATAAATATTTCTCAAATGATTGAATGGAAAAATATTACTCTTCCTGACCAATGGATTACAGTTAATGAAAATTACAAACATAATCAAAGACAATATACTTGTCAAGATATTCAAGATATTCAACAATTTATTGATGGATCTGTTAGGATTAAATTTAACCGGTCTCAATCTTCTCGTCATAGTACTTCTAGCATACCTACTGATGTTGAAACTAAAGATGAAATATTTAATACACCTTTATTCAGAAAAAATAGTCAAATTCATATTGATCAAACTTCTCACAGTAAAATGAAAGGCGTAGATAACTCCACCACTTCTCAAATTAGTAAACTTGTTTATTCAACACACACGCATTTACCTGAAGATGACACTGAATCTTGAGATTCCCCAACCCAAACTGATTCGAAGTCATACCTCCAATCAATCCTCAACTAATGACCATTAGTAAACCGTTTGCTCCTAATTTAGATAAATTACATACTGAATTTAGATCTAAAAATAATAAAACCAAACGTCATAATTACTGGCTTAAATATGATTCTAATCAACAATCTAAAATTACCCACAAATGGTATAAATTTATGATTGAACATAAAATTGAAATTCCTTTCTTTGAATATTTAGAAGACCATTATAAAGAAGTTCAAACAATTACAAAACATAAATGGAAAACTTCCCCTAGCACTACTGTTAGTTCTAGTCATCCTCCCTTATCTATCATAATTATAGAACATCAAGGATCTACTATTCAGGCTTCTCCCGTTAAATTAACTGGCTCTGACCCTGAAATCAAAAAAGTTATTGAGCAAAATAATTATACCAATCAATGCCTACAAACTATTGGTAAACAATTACATAAGATAGAAACCAACTTAGAAGATTATTCGGCTAACCACACCTCTTCTAGTAAACACATTTTAGACCAACCAATATTAAATTTACCTAGTAATCGATCTAAACGAGATAGTCTAATAACTCAAGATAATTCTACTGTTAAAGTTATAGAACAATTATTTTCTAAATTAACTACTAAAACGGCTTGTCCTTCTATTGAAAAAGGTCTTACTGCTTTAAATCAACAACCTACTCTAGAACCTATTTCTACTCAATCAAAAACTGATACCACTGATAATGAAATTAA